GGGCTTCCCTTTGTGGGTAACCCGACCTTTCTCTCTGGCTGCCCTTAACATTTTTTCCTTCATTTCAACCTTGGTGAATCTGACAATTATGTGTCTTCAGGTTGCTCTTCTTGAGGAGTATCTATGGGTGTTCTCTGTATTTCCTGAATTTGAATGTTGGCCTGCCTTGCTAGGCTGGGGAAGTTCTCCTGGATAATATCCTGAAGAGTGTTTTCCAATTTGGTTTCATTCTCCCTGTCACTTTCAGGAACACTGATTAAATGTAGATTTGGTATTTTCACATAGTCCTATATTTCTTGGAGGCTTTGTTCATTTCTTTTCACTCTTTTTTCTCTAATCTTGTCTTCTTGCTTTATTTCATCAGTTTGATCTTCAATCACTGATATCCTTTCTTCCACTTGATTGAATCAGCTGTTGAAGCTTGTGCATGCATCACGAAGTTCTCATGCTGTGATTTTCAGCTCCATCAAGTCATTTAAGGTCTTCTTTACACTGTTTCTTCTAGTTAGCCATTTGTCTAACCTTTTTTCAAGGGTTTTAGCTTCCTTGCAATGGGTTAGAACATGCTCCTTTAGCTTGGAGAAGTTTGTTACTACTGACTTTCTGAAGCCTACTTCTGTCAACCTGTCAAACTCGTTCTCTGTCCAGTTTTGTTCCGTTGCTGCTGAGGAGCTGTGATCCTTTGGAGGAGAAGAGGTGCTTTGGTTTTTGGAATTTTCAGCTTTTCTGTCTCGTTTCTCTCCATCTTTGTGGTTTTATCTACCTTTGGTCTTTGATGTTGGTGACCTACAGATGGGGTTTTGGTGTGGATGTGCTTTTTGTTAATGTTGATGCTATTTCTTTCCATTTGTTAGTTTTCCTTCTAAGAGTTGGGCCCCTTAGCTGCAGGTCTGTTGGAGTTTGCTGGAGGTCTACTCCACACCCTGTTTGCCTGGGTATCACCAACGGAGGCTGTAGAACAACACATATTGCTGATCTTGCTGCCTGATCCTTCCTTTGGAAGCTTCATCCCAGAGGGGCCCCCTGCCTGTATGAGGTGTCTGTCAGCCCCTACTGGGAGATGTCTCCCAGTCAGGCTACACAGGGGTCAGGGACCCACTTGAGGAAGCAGTCTGTCTGTTCTTACAGCTTGAATGCCATGCTGGGAGAACTACTGCTCTCTTCAGAGCTGTCAGACAGGGATATCTAGGTCTGCCGAAGCTGTCTGCTGCCTTTTGTTCTGATATGCCCTGCCCACAGAGGTGGAATCTAGAGAGGCAGTAGGCCTTGCTGAGATGTGGTGGGCTCTGCCCCGTTCGAGCTTCCTGTCCTCTTTGATTACACTGTGAGCACAAAACCACCTACTTAAGCCTCGGCAATGGCGACGCCCCTCCCCCTGCTGAGCTGCAGCATTGCAGGTGGATCTCATACTGCTGCACTAGCAGTGAGCAAGGCTCCGTGGGTGTGGGACCTGCCAAGCCAGGCATGGGAGGGAATTTCCTGGTTCTGCCAGTTGTGAAGACCATGGGAAAAGCGCAGTATTTGAGCAGAAGTGTACTGTTCCTCCAGGTACAGACTGTCACAACTTCCCTTGGCTAGGAAAGGGAAATCCCCCAACCCTTTGCGGTTCCCAGGTGAGGTGATGCCCCACCCTGCTTCGGCTTGCCCTCTGTAGGCTGCACCCACTGTCCAACCAGTCCCGATGAGATGAACCAGGTACCTCAGTTGGAAATGCAGAAATCACCCGTCTTCTGCCTCAGTCTTGCTGGGAGCTGCAGACCAGACCTGTTCCTATTCCGCCATCTTGGAAGCCTCCCTAACTGGCAAACTCTTAACCCTTCAGGGCTCAGCTGAGATGTTGCCACTTCAAGGAAGTCTTTTTTTTTTTTTTTTTTGGAGACAGGGTCTCACTCTGTCGCCCACACTTGAGTGCAGTGGCCCAATCTCAGCTCACTGAAACCTCCGCCTCCCTCCCAAGCTCAAGCGATTCTCCTGCCTCAGTCTCCCGAGTAGCTGGGATTACAGCCGTGCACCACCACGCCCTGCTAATTTTTGTATTTTTAGTAAAGACGGGGGTTCACCATGTTGGCCAGGGTGGTCTCAAACTCCTGACCTCAAATGATCCACCTGCCTCGGCTTCCCAAAATACTGGCATTACAGATGTGAGCCATCGCGCCCAGCCCAAGGAAGTCTTTAGAGACCTCCTCCCACCCTACACAGCACCCTTCCTCTGTAGTCTTACAGCACTCTTACTGACCCTCTCCCCCATTTCAACCCCTTTCATACTGTGATTAACTGGTTAATCATCAGCTTCCCTTGCTAGACTGCCCTCTGCAAGGGCATGCCACATTCATTACAATAGATCAAGCAGTTAGCCCTCTTGGGTACTGGCACATCGATCTCTGCAGCTCTCCTTCCTCATTGGCTGACAACAACAAAAACAACAACAACAACATCTTCTGATACTAACACCACACCATTGGTTAAAGCTTTCTATATGCTAGGAATTGTTCTATTCACATTACTTGAATCTTGCCAATAACTCTATGAGTAGGTATCCTTATCCCCATCCTATGGTTGAGGAAACAATCTTGGAGAGGTTAAGCAAGTTGTTTTGTTTTGTTTTGTTTTGTTTTACTACTGGTCAATATTGGAGCTGAGGTTCAAACCCAGGAAGCTGACTCCTGGGTCAATGAAGCCCTTTTGGGAAGCACTTCACCTCTGGTATTGGCTTTGGGCTTTGATATACATTGTGCTTTATTGTTTTTTTTAACAATCAATGAGCTTTGCGTAGGCAATTTGCCCTGATTCCCTATGCTCTCCTTCCTAAATGTGACTGTTGGTGTCTTGGTGGCCTAGAAGTGCCTCCAGCTCCCCACATGGATGTCCTGGGTTCAAAATGCATCTTCTTTGTTATACCAAACACACTCTCTCTCCTTATCACCTTTGCTCACGAAAGACACCCACAGCACCCTACAGTGAAAAATCAGCACTGTAGGGGAGAGGTATGTTCCGAGCAGTCGTTATGACATCATAGCAGATCATGCATTCCTGAAGTTTCGGCTCTCATGGCTTCATAGATTGAGAGCTGAGGCTCCTGATGGGATTCACCCCATCTGAATTAGAGAGCTGTGATGGAATAGGGCAAAAGGAGACATTCCATTACAAAGTCAAACCATGGTAAACAACCACAGCCAAAGGAGATAGAAGAAAGAAAGAAAGGAAAGGAAAGACAAAAAACAATTATATACAGAAGGAGGATGGCAAGTTGCTGGAAGACAAACAGTTCTCCTACATCTTAAAATTCTAGAACAAAGATGTGACTAAGTTTCTTGAGTCTTTTATAGGAACTTTAGACTAGTATTTCCTGAGTTCAGCGTCCATAGGCAACTGAATGGCTGTTAGGCGGGCAAGCACACCGCCAATTTTAGGTACATGTTTCAAAAGACTCATCAAATTTTTAGAAATAAAGAAAGCATAGTATCTTAAACTTATTAATCATTTTCATATCAGTAATGGGGAATATTATTTGAAGTTAATCCTTTACAGTTCTATATCTGGGTCTATTGGATATATCTGTTTCACAACAAGTCATTCTGAAGTGGTTTGCATACTTTTAATTTGTGTAGATCCTAATTCATAATTACAGGTGGTTACAAATGACAGCAAGTGTTTGGTGGCTATCTAAAATTATTCTGAGTATTTAGATAGAAGAGGACCCTAACATTATGTTGTGATTTCGTACAAAACACTTAGCTAGATGCTAAGTTGACAAACATACTTTATTCAGAGTATTGGATGTTTCAGCTCTGGAGATAGCAGCAAATGGATTCTGTTGTGGTTTGAACTACATCAACTTGCTTAGGCTGGAGTTACGTTTCCCAGAATCCCCTTCTCTGAGTGGTCTCAAGTTAGAATTGGTCCAGAGAATAATTTGCACAACATTTGCAAGGTAGAAGTGAAGCAGCCACCATTACTCTCTGAAGATTGTCAGGGTTGGATGTGACAGACAGATGCAGAGGGTGCTAGTGGGTTCCATTTATTCTTGCTGTCCTCCACTCTGTGGCCTGGTATTCCTCCCAGCTGATGACTTTGTTGACCTGCAGTGGTCTTGGCCCATCACAAGATGCATGGGGACTGTAATTAATTTATCATTGCATCTCCAGTGTATGGTGCAGATCCTGTCTTATCAGTATCTTAATTGTTCATTGAGTAAACACATGTACGTGGTTTTATATGCATTGATTTTTGGCTACTCAGCATTGGGAAATAATAATACAATTTTCTGGAGAATCATCCCTGTCCCACATTTAGTCAATGTATGTTGGGTAAGGTTTATTTCACGCCTAGCTCCACTGACCACATGAGTTCAGCCAGGCCAATCAAGTTATGACATTCCCTTGGCTACAGTGATTGGCTTGGGGATGGAACACTACTCAGCCTAAGCCAATAAGATGTGTTGAGTCTTTTGCTGTGACTGTCACAACAGAGGCACATGATCTTTTCTGCTGGACCTGAACCTGGGAGGATATAGGCCTGACTCTGTTGGCAGTCATTCTGGTGCCACACTGAGCCTGAGAATGAAGCCAACATTGTGAACAGCAAAGTAATGAGAAGAAACAAGACTGGGTTCTGATAATATTTGAGCCCCTGGATTGAGCAGTGCCTGAAGTCAATATCCCCTGGATTTCAATTATATGAACCAATAACCACCCTCCCCCTTATTTCTTCCCCTCAAACCACTATGGAGGGGGATTTCTGTGCTGTGGAGCATAAAATCTCCACTCACACTGCATAGTTTTCAATTTCCCTTTAGGAGCAAAACGCCTTTTTCAAATGAATGTTCACACAGCACCCCATTACACAGCAAGGTTAATAGCAGAGCTCATGAGGACCAGGCCCTGCTGTCCTGCCCTCATCCCCCAAGTTCTGAAGCCGTTCCTGATGCCTCTGTGGAACGCTGGTCTTGGCAGAACACAGTTAGAAAACCATTAATTTAACCCATGTCTCTTATTTTAAAGGTAAGAAAACTGGAGTTCAGAAAAGGGAGGGGACTGACTCAATCCCAGCTGCTGGCAGATCGGGGACTGCAAACCAGCCTTCCATTGCTCCACGCAGGTGTCTCTTCTCACGTGGAATCACAGCATCGGATGGACTGAAAAGAGGAAGAGGCTGCAATGGAGCAGCACACCTGGTGTGCGGGGATGCCTGGAAAACAGAATTAGGAGAGCCCTGGGTCAGCATTGCTCTGGCACTGGCTGGGCTGGGGGCTATCCTGATTCTAGAATTATCTTGGTTCTTGGGATAGAAATGTCCCCAAAGTGGAGAAGTTCAGTTCAATCCAACATCCTTATATTGCAATGAGGATAAAGACCACAGACCCTATGGCCTGTATGACCCAGCTGCCCATTTCTAGGAACCTGTTCCTACAAAAATGACAACATGCGTGTGCAAACAGCAGCAATGACAAACATACCCTGGGATGATTTCCCTGTGTGGTTTGTTGTAGTAAGATAGTGGCCACAGCTTATATATCATCAACACAGGACTGGCTAAATGATGGCACTTGATTCTGCAGAATCTTTTGCTGTAGTCAAAAAGAACAAGTTAGATCTGTACATATGAACATGGAAAGGTATCCATGACTTATATTAAGTAGCAAAATTGCAGAATGATATTTATAGTATAACTTCATTCTTACAAAAACCGTTTTCCAAAACTGTGCGTGTAAAAGGGCTGGAAGGACACATCCACCGTCTTCATAGTGGTTACATCTGGGGAGGAGAGTTGGGGCTTGAGGCAGACTTTGGCCATTCAATTTGGATGGGGGCCAGAGACCCCCTCTCAGATCTGAGAATGCTGTACTTGCTTTCCAGCCTCCTTTGTAGCACAGGCCATGACAAAGACTCTGTTAGATCACCTTGGGTGGGAGGGGACAGGGTGTTTCCTCTATCTGGCAGGGGGGCTGCAAGGTCAAATTCCTGACCGAAGCGGTGCTGTTTCCTGCTGTGGCGTGCAGTGGTTATGTACTGTAGTGCTTAACGGCGGCAGAGGTACCTTCAAACACACCAGCACACTGGTCAACTTTGGGGTCTTACTCTTAGAAGCCGGGCCTGGAGCTTCCCTCTCACATTCTGTGAACCACCCCATATCCTTCTAGTAAACTCTTCTGCTTCATGGTTTAGAGTCAGCCGAGTTAGAGGGACTTCTGATTATTTTATACATGTCATCTGATACACAAATATATGCACACATTTTTTAACCAAACATATTTAAGAGAATACAGATGATCTAGCCCAAAGGAACATGTAGTGCATAGAGGTGTGTGCCCCTGCCCTGCTTGGTATTTTATTTTATATTTTGAGGTGGAGTCTTGCTTTGTTGCCCAGGCTGGAGTGCAGTGGTGGGCTCTCGGCTCACTGCAACTGCCTCCTGGGTTCAAGTGATTCTTCTGTCTCAGTCTCCCAAGTAGCTGGGATTATAGGTGCATGCCACCATGCCCGGCTAATTTTTGTATTTTTAGTAGAGACGGGATTTCGCCATGTTGGCTAGGCTGGTCTCGACTCCTGACCTCAGGTGATCCACCCACCTCGGCCTCCCAAAGTGCTAGGATTACAAGTGTGAGCTGCCATGCCTGGCTCCCTGCCCTGTTTTGAACCAGGGTTTTATTAAAGAGGTGGAGGTGCTGATCATTAAACAGCAACTACAGTGAACTTGGTTTGCAGTGAGACGTTTGCTCAGAAATGTTCTTTTTAAATAAGCAACTTCCTGACCTGCAAGTTAGTCTTAGGCATGGCTCCCTCACCGGGAAAGTTGTGTCCTGTGCAGGCTGCTTTTCCCACTGTCCCTGTACATCCGCCTGGGCCTTCTTCCTCTTGGTTCTTGGGTAGACTGACTCTGTCCTCTGAAAGCCTGGTCCTCTGAGGAGACTGAAGTTTGCATGTCACACAGAGCCAAGAGATCTGGCCCTGGATGAAACTAGGGGACAGCTCCCAACAGCTGCTCAATTAGTGAGTTTCCTTTGTACTTCAACTTGGGTAAGCTGGGCTAATTAATAAATGGACTTGAGAATGACAAACCTTCATGGCCAAGGTCCAGAATGTCATGTTGGTGGAAGATGGCAAAAGGCTGGTGAGAGGGATGTCAGAAGCAAAAGGACTAGGTACCAGGAAATGAGGAATCAGAATAGCATTGTCCACAACTACTGGAGGTCCTTGTTGATTTATTTCTTTGCTTTTCCAATGACCTTTTGATATTTGAATTTCACACATCCCTGTCTTAGTTTGCATCCTCCAGAAGCAGTGGCTGAGACAAGGATTCAAGTGCAAGTGGCTTGATTGAGAAACAGTCATTCAGGGATCACCATTCAGGGACTGGAGAAGTAAGACAGGGAAGGAGGGAAGCCAATGGAGAGTGTATTATTGAACAAGTTACCACTGTGGGCAATTGGAGCTCAATGCCTCTGGGGAACTCTGGGAGCCAGTGTAGAATATACAGCTCAGAGTTTTTTCACTGGAGCAAAGGGAGTCACTGGTTGAGGGTTGCTGCAGGGAAGTGTTCATTCTCTAGCATTTCTGGCCTGCCATGTGTGTGGGCAGAGAGGGTCCAGTGATCAGGAAGCCTTCCGACAAAGAGTCATGGATGCTGGCTGTTGGAAGTCAGGTCACATGCACAGAAATATCACATGCTGGTGGCATCTGCGTGGGGCATCCACAGCATCTGCTACAAGTTTCTTTCCTTCTTTGCACAGCTCATGAAATTTGCCTGCCTTCTAATCAGTGCACAGAGACTGCAAGGTAAGCAAAGAGTTTCACTTGATCTTAGGTGATCATAGATGACCGATCTCATTTACATTCTGTTTAAGTATCCATGTTTATAGTCAAAATATATCAAATTGCATAATATCCATACCACACACAGAATAAGATAACATACCTGGTTTTTTAAAAATAACTTCAGCGGCAAAATACATACTATTTTAACAGCATCCGAATTTGAGGGAGGTAAAAATATATTCCCTCTTATATAGTGAGATGGATGGAAACCAGAACAGAAAGCCCTGAACCCTTGGGGCTGCCCATGTAAACATTGTGAGGGCCTACGCTGCACTGAGGGAGTAGCTACTTGGTGTTGCCTATGGTCATTTGCCACCTTTTGTGATGACCCTCCAATTGGGACACCTGGCCATTAGGTCCTAGTTATCAGGAAGCTAACCTGTTAGTCACTAAATTCATTTTCCTAGGGAAAAATGAGTGTTGATGCATGATGTATTGCAGTTATTTGAAAACATGCCTTAAGTTTTACATCATCTGTATCTTAATCCCCTTGGGCTCCCACAACAAATTGCTATAGACTAGGTAGCTTAGAAACAGCGGAAATTTATAACTCACAGTTCTGGAGGCTGGGAAGTCCAAGATCAAGGTGCTGACAGATTCAGTGTCTGGTGAGGGCTCGCTTTCTTGTTCGTAAATGGTGCCTTCACGCTGTATCTTCACGTGGTGGAAGGGGCAAATAAACTCCCTTGAACTTCTTTCATCAGGGCACTAATCCCATTTACGAGTGGGTGGACTTAAGTGAGGAATGATTCAGGCAGCCAACAAGACTATCAAATACCCACCACAATAGGTTGTTTTAAAGATGAGGAAACAGCCTTGAAGAGGTAGAGAAAAGCCCCATGTTCCATGACTGGTCAAGAGCAGAGCTAGGATTTGAACACAAATCTTCTGATGGGCCCAGCTCCTGCTGTGTTCTTTCCTTCTGCTCTGTCACCTCTGGTATAGGTCATGTCTGCTTTTGCTCACATACTTTGTAGAGGACAGAGCTATTAGAGAATAGGAGATTTGGGGGAAGAGGGGAAGGAAAGGAGAGCCAGTGGGGGCTGTTGGAACAGGGACCCAACCCAGGGAGCCAGACTTGGTGGAGGCTGCCTCAGGACAACCAAGGACACTGAATCCACTCACTCTCCACTCTCCCTCCTCTCTGTTTATTGGTTTGAGGAGAGGTCTACATTAAAGAGCTGGAGGTTGATGAATTGTTGTCATGATTGTGGGAAGGAATGGATGCTCACAGGCGCAGACGGAAAAACAAAATGAATTGGCCTATCTAGATACTTCCCATGAAATGCTTTCAGTTCTACATTAATTCTAAGTTTATCTCTTAAGCATATTTGGAATATGGAGATAATCTTAGAATGGCACAATCTAGAATGTAATTTAGATAAGCTAAGAACCAAAAGAGAGGACCACATTGCCTTGTCTCTCAGGACTGTGTGGGTCCGATTTAATGACTCCTGATGATATGAAGTTGAATTGGGCAGCAGATTGGACACATAGCTATAGTGCCAGCTATTCATGTTTAAAATGTCTTTTTAGACCAGGTGCGGTGGCTCACGCCTGTAGTCCCAGCACTTTAAGATGCTGAAGTGGGTGGATTGCTTGAGCCTAGGTCTTCGGGACCAGCCTGGGCAACATGGCGAAACCCTGTCTCTACAAACAAACAAACAAAAAACAACAACAACAAACAAACGAAAAGCAAAAAACAAAACAAAACAAAAACAAAAACACCAAACCAAAAACCAAAAAAACAAGCTGGGTGTGGTGGCACACATCTGTAGTCCCAATTACTCTGGAGACTGAGTTTGGAGGTTCTCTTGAGCCCTGGAAATGGAGGTTGCAGTGAGCCGAGATCATGTCACTGCAGTTCAGCCTGGGCAACAGAGTGATACCCTATCTCAAAAAACACAAGTAAAAATAAAATGTCTTTAAATACAGTCATGCACCACATAATAACATTTTGGTCACTGATGGATCATAAGATGCTGGTCCCATAGATCATAACGGAGCTGAAAATTCCTATTGCCTAGTGATGTAGCTGTCATAATGTTGTAGCATAACGTATTACTAAAGTGTTTGTGGTGATGCTGGTGTATGAGGCTGGGCAAGGTGGCTCTGTCTGTAATTCCAGCACTTTGGGAGGCTGAGGAGGGAAGGTTGCTTGAGGCCAGGAGTTGGAGACCAGCCTGGGCAACACAATGAGACCCTGTCTCTACAAAATAACAAAAAAATCCAACTTACTATGTTGCCACATATAAAAGCATAGTATATACAATTATGTGCTGAACATAATACTTGATAATGATAATAAATGACTATGTTATTGGCTTATGTGTTTACTATACTATACTTTTTATTGATATTTTAGAGTGTACTTCTACTTATTAAAAAAAGTTAGCTGTAGAACAGCCTCGGGCAGGTCCTCCAGGAGGTGTTCTAGAAGAAGACACTGTTATCATCAGAGATGACAACTCCATGTGTGTTACTGCTCTGAAGACTGTCCGTGGGACAAGATGGGGAGGTGGAAGACTGATATTGATGGCCCTGAGCCTATGTTGGCCTACGCTAATGTGTGTGTTTATGTCTTCATTTTTAACAAAAAGTTCAAAAAGTCAAAATAAATTTTAATAGAAAAAAACTTGCAGAATAAGTCTATAAAGAAAGAAAATATTTTTACAGCTATACAACATGTTTGTGTTTTAAGCTGTTATTATGAAAGAGCCAAAAAGTTAGAAAAATTTAAACATTTGAAAAATAAAAAAGTTGTAGTAAGCTTAGTTTATTGCTGAAGAAAGAAAATTAAAAAAAAAATAAATTTAGTGTAGCCTAAGTTTGCAGTGTTTATAAAGTCTACATTAGTGTACACAAACATCCTAGGCCTTCATGTTCACGTACTCACTCACTGAGTGAAGAGCAATCTTCCAGGCCCACAAGCTCCATTCATGGTAAGTGCCCCACACTGGTGTACCATTTTTAATCTTTTATAGTATATATTTTACTGTGCCTTTTCTTTGTTTAGGTACACAAGTGCTTACCTTTGTGTTACAGTTGCCTACAGTATTGAGTACAGTAATGTGCTTTGCAGGTTTGTAGCTTAGGAGCAACAGGCTACACCATGTAGCCTGGGTGTGTAGTAGTCTACACCATCGAGGTTTGTGTAAGTATGTTCCATGAGGTTTGCACAACAATATTGCCTAATAACACATTTCTTTCTTTTTTTTTTTTTTTTCCTTTAGAGACGGAATCTTACTCTGTCACCCAGGCTGGAGTGCAGTGGCGTGATCTCAGCTCACTGCAACCTCTGCCTCCCAGGTTCAGGTGATTCTCCTGCCTCAGCCTCTCAACCAGCTGGGATTACAGGTGCCTGCCACCATGCCCGGTGAATTTTTGTATTTTTAGTAGAGGTGGGGTTTTGCCATATTGGCCAGGCTGTTCTCAAACTCCTGACCTCAGGTGATCCACCTGCCTCAGCTTCCCAAAGTGCTGAGATTACAGGCCTGAGCCACTGCGCCTGGCCCTAACAATAC